CTAGAAAGAATTTTTAGATTTATCCCAGGAATCTCGTAATTTATACAAACATCAAAATTTACTACTCGTACGTAAATTTCGAAAAAAGATCACTCAAAATATTTGAAAAAAATCATCAAAAGTTATTTGTATAAAAAATCATATTAGACAAAAAGGAAAAGAAATGCATCACATGAGTTAACCACTAATTGCTCAATCACAAGTTTAGACATAACATAAAAACGACAGGGTAAAATACCAAGTAAATTCTTCCTTAGAATATCTCGCGAACCACATTTGAACGGAGTACCACAGCAAAAAATAAAAGACTACAACAGAAAAAAACATGGAAAAATAGATATCTGATGGAAAAGATAAATCCCACAGAGCAAAACAAGAAATCGGATCTAGGAAGCTCTCCAAGATTTCAATCACAACCGACAGAATATTAGCAAACTTTCATGCACAATCAAATTTCCTTTAAAATAAGTTTCGAAAAAAAAATTAATAAAAATTGCAGAACAGAGTTGTAACCATTCGTCCACTTAAAAAGTCCACTGAAAAATTATAGTTGTTTTAACTCTTGACACACTACGGTAAAAATTCAACATTCAAAATCATTCTTTTATTATCTTTAATCAAGAAGCAATAACTGCAACTCGACTTGAAATCGCTAGCTCCCCTATTTTGCAAAATAAAACAATCAGTTCAGACTAGAAAAAATACATTTAGAGCAAAAAGAACTGAGAAAGCAGTTGAAAAGTTCAAAAATCTACAAACAATTTTCACCCACAGGATAAAAAACTAACATATTACGACCAAAATAGATGACAAAAACAAAATAATTGAAAACATCAATCGAAAAAATCATTCCCAATCTTCTGAAACTATATCGGCAAAAAGAAAGCAAAAACATCTCTCAGTTTTTCAAATGCTGAACTCTGAAAAGTTAATTGCAATTTTCAATGAATAATTGATTGAAGTAAAACTTAATCAACAGTAAAAAAAAATTCATGATCTATTCTCAGGTACTTGCCACCAGCCCGACTATCGGCTTTCTGTTTTTAATTGTGCAGAGACAACCCGATCATCAGCAGTCCTATACTTTCAATTATTCTTCAGCAAAGCCCGATCATTGCCAATTCTCACTCCTTATCAAATAATAATTACATGCAGTGAGCTCAATCCAATCATTATAATATTATGCGGCCAAACTGTGCACTGGATAGGCGCACAATTTGGTGTCTCTGAGTCTTTGGAATTAGGACTCAAGTGTTTAAACAAGCTCCAAGATATAGTGGATTTCATTTACAAATTTTTGTGGATTCCACGCTCAAATACAAGTATGGTAATTCCTTTCGGCCCATTTTTTGTCGCTGATTCCGCAACGAGCAAAACAGCTAGTTTGAGAGCGGATTCCACAACATTAAAGCGGAATCCGCAAATGTTGTAGATTCCGCATTTTCTTAGTTATGCCGAAAGAAAAAAACTCTTGCGTGAACATTTAGGAGCTATAGCAGAATTTTAGCTAATGCATGATATTTAGTTAAAGTAGAAAAATTTAACTGTTGTCAGTGGAAACCAAAAACATATCTTAAATCAATGGTTAACTAAAAATGTGGATGTACTCCATTTTTAATTGAGATACTTTTCCCATCAAGCTGTTTTTGGGACCAAAATTTGAGAAACACATCATTTTAAAGACGAATAATCAAGCTTAGTGCTTAAGAAATGCGAAAAACGGTTGTGGTTTGGTGAAATTGTGACTTTGTGACTATAACCAACGGCTATAGTTGGGATGAGTTCTGAGGCTATTGGAATGACAGCCAGTGGCGATGTTTTAAATGTTCTGATAACCTCTAACCATCTCAAATACTTGATCTAAAAATTCTGTTAGTCTCTGACCTAAATGTGTTGTTTTATCAGCATAGAAGATTATCACTTCAAACCACTCTGAGCTTAATCGCCGTGTTAAAATCTCTGAATTTGAAACTCGGATTAAAGAACGGATAAAAATAATTAAGTTGCTTAACTTCGATTAAATATCGCACTTAGCTTAAAAGTTTACAGCGAAAGCTGAATAAATTTTTGCCTTTATAATCCACGAATACTTTACTTCGTCTCAATTGATTCTGTTTTTGAGATTGAAAAACTGGAAAAAAATGTTAGAGACTGTAGTCAGTCTGGTGACTTCATACTGCTTGCTGTGGTTGAAGTTGAGCTATTTTCAGTGATTGAGTAAATAGTTTTGGCAGTTATTTAGATTTAACTGTTGTCATTTAATGAAAATGAGCTCTTGGAAAGTCTCGTTGATGACCCTCAAAAACGTTTTAACTTAAAAACTTTTTGATAGTTTCTTTTCATACGGTATAGATCCAGATTCTGTAGAGTGTCAAGAAGTTAGAAAAGTGGAAAACTAAACGTATATTTTTCAATTGACTTTTCGTTATGATGCTTGGTTTGAAAAACAACTGTAAGTACAAGTAAACAGTTTTTCTAATTTAATTTTTCAGATTTCTATTATTTGCGTAACAAAATTGAGCTTATAAAAATGCTAATGAGAAAGGAAGTTTGAATGAAGCTTAAGCTAACAAATCGAAACTCACACAAACTTTTTTTCGCACTATAAATAACTGCACTCAAAGTTTTTTTGTTGCATGAAAATTGTCAATAATGTTTCCTTGCTTCTGTTTTTTCTGTCTGATTACTGAAAAAACAAATGCATATATTGGCTAACCAAAAGCAATAAAATTTTTTATTGTGCATTCAGAGTAGCATTTGCAGTGCTGAAAAAAACTGAGTATAATTATGAACGGTTCTCAACTGAGTTTTGAAAATGTTAATTTACAAAATTCATTCACACAATTGCACGCCAGAACGTTGAGAAAGAAAAAGATGTAATTTTGTAAAAGTATACTTTTCATCTGAACAAGAACACATAGCTTTGGAAAATTTAGAGGGTTTCTCTTGAACTCAAAAGTTTGTGCTAACAAACTCTTCTAATAAAAATGTAGCTTTCCTTAGCTCTTTGGAGAAATTTCTTCAGTACAAAACAAATTTGAATTTTTTTTAAGATCATTTACATTTTCAATCCATGTGAATTTGAACCCTTGGATTTGCACAATTTGAAAAAAATTCTTAAACGCAAAATTTGATGGTAAAAAAACCCTCCTGAAGTGACACATAATCTGTAATGAAGAAGCTTCTGTAAGTGTGATGGATATTTTTCTTGATTGCATCAGACTGATCAAGTTTCGACACAAAAAAAAGTTAAGTTGAATATGTTTTGTAGAGAATTTGATGGATTTCACTACCGTGCAAAAAAAATTAATTGAATTAAATCCGTTTATTAGGTATTAACATTGGGTAGTATTTTGTCTGGTTTAACATCGAGTTAAATCGATTTCAATCTCAAGTTTGTCAAGGACAGTTTGATTTTTCTATTAAATTCCGCAACAGTTTGCGGATTACGCTCAATAATGTAGATTTCAGTTGCCACTCGTAAATTCCGCTGAAAATTGCGGAGTGTGCGACAGCGAAACAGTTATATCATATATATTCTTATTTGTTTTCGGATTCTACAAGTTCTTCCGGATTCCATGAAAGTCGCCTGTTTTTGGAGGGATTTCCAGCGACACGTTTTTTTAACCGCATGTTCGTGGAATCTAAAACAGCAAAGAAGATCAAAGAAATTTAACAAAGTCGCCGATTCCCCGACAAATCTGTTTTCGGCTTGTTTCGGAATCCACAGTTTGTCTTTTGCATGAAGTCCTAAAAATCCAATCCAATCTGTCAGCAGTTCCAATCATCAGCATTCCCAAACCACTATGTATTCTGAAATTTGACCAGCATCCCAATCATCAGAAAGGTACAACACAACATTTACCTCTGATAAAAAATCAAATGCCGGAGCATAACATGGAACTAACGTTTCAAATTCGTCATACTTGCTCGAAAGAACGACTTGATTGGCCTAATCGTCTCCAGAGAACAGTTTAAAAGACATTATTGTTCCCTGCATTGTTAGCAAAAAAAGTTTTCTGAGAATATTTTGCCGAAAACGACGCTTTCGATAAACTATAACAAAATTATGCAACGTTTCATCTTATATAAGCAATAAAATAATATTTTTGACAACGAATATTGACAAGCATTAACATTTGGCAAGCATTAACATTTAGCTTTAATTTTTTTTCTCCATATTTTTTCAAAAACAATATTTTTAAATTGACATCTTCTAAAATTGTTTTTTTTCTATTTTCAGTTCGCCTCTGACGAAAAGATCTCAGTCCAAAAATATTATTCTGTCGCACAGCAACAGGCTACAGTGCTGATTTAAACTAACTGGACAAAACAATCAAATTTGAAGAAAGCAAAACGTACTTCTCAATATGGATTGAGAACAAAAATTGCTTAGAATGCTACCAGAAGTTTTGTGATTTAAAGGTTTTGCAAATTTCCTAACCAAATTTATTTTCAAAAGATTGGCTGCTTTTATTAAATCATAAAATGCAGCCATTCTGACTGCTTTTGATAATTCCCAAATTAAACTAAAACTGTCTTTTCCATTGACGAGCAAGATATATCACGGTGAATTTCCCACAGAAGGGTATAATCTTTCCTCTTGAAAAAAAAATTTTCTCCTCTAGGGAAAATATATAATTTGACTATTAAACAAAAATAAGTTTACTTATACAGATTTTTGGAGATTATAACTTCCTAAAATTTTGTTAGACTGAAGTGACTGCCACTGTGATATAACGTGCTCATCAATTGAATTGACAGTCCTAGCATAGTTTGTCTTTAATTAAACACAAAGGGGTTTCAACTTGGTGTTTTCTTTTGGTTCCGGATTTTGCAAAATAAATGCAAACATCAAAATTGAAATTCTAAATTTTTCATTTTTTTTGTTTTTTTTCCGGATAATCTAAATCAGCACTGTGCTCTTGTCTGTTGCATTTAGCAAGCAAATCAAAATAGCAATAGTCTTTCGAGTTTTAGTACTACTGGACTCAAAGAAACGTTTTTGTAAACAATTCATGAGAACTAACGAGTTAAAACGTGAAAAATAATTGAGGTTTTAATACATAAGCGTTTGTCTATCACTGTTAGAGGCTGGCCATCGAGTCAACTTTAAAAAAGCACGTTTAGTTGATATTGAGCCCCAAATTGTAATTAAACGGTGAGTTAACTTTTCTTAGCTTTTTCATCTAATACAGATATCAAACTTAAACTAATCTTGTTTTACCGGCTCGATATCCGTGTTTTATTTTTAGGCAAGTTTCAGTAGTACCACTAAAAGTAATTTTAGTACCGAAAAAATATAAGCTAATCGAGTTTTGGTTGCAAATAGTCTACAAGTTAGACTCGATACTCTAAATTTGCGCAGATTAAAACGCAATTATATTATATGTATACATAGTGTTTCAAATATGTAGCAACAAAATTGCAAAGGTCGGAAGAATTGCGCCGGTCGCGGTCATCTATTCATAAGTCGCGTCGGTCGCAAACAGTATCACTGGCTTCCGCTGGTCACAGACACAGATCAGAGTTTTACTATTGAGGAGATATCGAAGGGCGATCACATAGGTCTCGAAAATTTTTTTTGCGATCTTCCCTAGTCTGCGAAACAACAAAATTTGGTTAAGTAATCCTTATTATAAAACACAACTTTGTTGCGCAATAGCTTAAAAATATAGTTGTCGTTTCTGAGGTTAAAATTTATCCTATTGAGTTTTTTGTTAATCGTTTTTTGTCAGATGTTTTTTATCTTGTACGTGAAAAAGGTAAAACTAGATTTTCGGGGGTTTTATTCCGCGTAAGGTTTTTTATATATAAAAATGTGAAAACTAGGAAATTTCTTTTTTTTTGTAATCTACATTGAATTAACTTTGATATATTTTTTTGAATTCGACGCTACAGAAAACAGAAACTAACAATTTTGTTCCAAGTATATCTTGGAATCCAAATACAATTGAATTAATTTTGAAAAAATCAACCTCCAAAATCATCGGATTGACATCTGCTACTAATTTGTAAAGTTTTTTGTCCAATTTGGGCAGATTTGGAGTTAAAATTTACTTAATTGAGGATCCCATATATTTTTTATTTGTAAGGACTGTTCGCGCATTTTCAATTTTACATATGACAAAACTTTGGAACCCTGCTAGAAAATCTAAGATTTCTTCTCCAAAAAACATTGGACTATTTGTAGATTCGATATCAAATTACTCTCAAAGAAGTTTGTTTGGCAGAAGTTTCTTTCGGCAGCAATCGGCTTTTGTTTGTAAACTGTTGTCTATAACAAATTGCAAAAGAATCTGTTGCTTCGCGCACAGCAATAATTGCCCTTATTTGATGATTTTGGCTGTTTATTCAAACAAAACATTCTATAAAACTATTTTGTATTTTGAGTTTTATATACCACTAGACTTGAAAAAAGTGTCTAATCAGTTCATACGAAAATGTTTGATTCAACTAGCGAGTTACAACATGAAAGCTAAAAGAGATTTTAATACATAAACTTTTAGCCATTTTGACTGTTAGAGCGTTGGCCATCCAGTTAATTTTCAACAAACACGTTCAGTTGAAACCGACCGAAACCAAACTTCTAACAACACTGTGAGTTACCTTTCAAAATAGTTTCCTACTATTTGCATCTAATTTAAATATATACCATACACTGTTCGTGCTTTTCCTGGGTCAAGATCTGCAACATACATCTAAATTTTAAATATCAAAACAAAAAAAAACTCGAACAAAACGAAAAATGATTTTTTAAAATGCTTTTAAGCGCGGATAATGGGTTGTCCGAAAAGGCGCAAAATTTAAGTTTCATGATAAATTTTAAATACTATTTGAAGCATGTTAAAATAAAAGGACAACGGTTGCGGAAATTGCTCCGGTCGTTGCGACCAACTATTCTTTGATCGCGTCTGTTGCGGATAGCTTTATTTGACCTCTACAATCGCGGAAAAATTAAAATTTGATTGTAGCGCTTTGGAAAAAATCAAATTTGGTATCGACAGTCTGGAAATCTGTTAAAAGCTAATCGATGAAAAACTTGAAGCGTGTGACGAAGCTGAGGCTTCTGATGAAATGAAATTTTTGGTAAGCCAAGCTAAGGCACCTGCTAAGAATTTAGTTTTTCGCTCTTTTTTGTGATTTTTTTTCTACATTGAAGCAAATTGTTTAGTAAATCTATCTTTCAAAACATCACTCAAAATTCGTTTGGGTTTTCACTCGGAAATGGCAATATAATGACTCATATGCACATCAAAAGAAATGATAAAGCCTCAAAATTGCGTTAACTTGTCTGTAAAATAGTCCAAAATCAACTTTTCAAACAAAACAATCAAACATCACTGTAACTACACCTTACTTGTTTTCAATTGGCAAGATCATTTTTATTTGTTCAAAAAAACAGTTCACGTTTTCATTTTTGATGAAAATAGTTTTCCAGCTGTTTCAAATTACTACCTTCCTTAAAAAATTTCAATTCAATTTAGGAAATTGCTCATTATCTAAGAAAAATATTTCCTTCTGATCCGTGATTTTTTTTGAGAAACTTTTTGATTATTGTGTTTCTGCTGATGTTTATGGATTTCAAAACTCAAACTTTGCAAGACAAAAGGCCTGGTTTTCACTAAAACCTTTAAAAACAGCCCTGGACTTTTAGACATGTATAAAAAATTCAGGGTAATTCTCGAAAGGCATAGCCACGGTTTTAACTCTAGCCACCCGAGATCTATCGATTTACAACTTTACAATGATTGTGATCGGATCTATTTCTCTTTTGATTGCAGGAAAAAATTGGGAAAAAGATCATCACAGCTATTAATCGAATCGAATTACAGCTCGAATCGTTTTTTCGATAAGTTTTGAAGCTGTCAATTTTCGATTTATTGATACAGTATTCAACTACAAATTATCCTATCTGCAAACATCATCTTCAGAACTGTTGCAAATGGTATTTACGCAGATTTTCAAAAAAACATTTTTTTAGGTCGACCGAATTGATTGTCGAGCTCTCCCCAAGCACGGTTTAGTCCTGTTTTGGACAAATTTTCTGCGCCGCATGCAAAATGTTGAAAAAAGTCCAAAAAAGGCATTTTTAGGCACTTTTTGAAAAATTTTGACCAAAAAATAGCGTTTTTTTGGCGCGCGCTCCCCCCTCAAAACAGTATATATTGGCGCCGAAGATGCCTTTGGAAAAGTTTTAGAGTCGGTCAGCCAAAAATGGATTTCTTAAAAAGTACCAAAGGGCGGACCCTTTGGCTCGGCAGGGGGTCGAATCCCTGATGGGGGGGGGTTCGTCCGCCCTCCTGCCATCCCCTAAATCCGCCCCTGCTCAAATACTAAATAACAAAGCCACTTGGAGTATATAGTTAAGTAATTTATCTCTTATCTGATTTCAATGAAGGGTACTTTCAAAAAATTGCAAACACAAGATCTCCACAGACAAATTCATTTACAAATTCATTCTGCCATTTTTTTGCCTTAAATAACTTAAAAAATTTGCCCTAAAAGTACCTATAACTGCAAAACCGAAACGAGATTTTAAAAATACTATTCGATTTCAAGCTGAAGAGAGCGATAATGTCGGATCGTAGAAACAAAAAATCAAAATCAGATTTTTCAAAACAGTTTGTGTAATGTACATTACAAAAGTTTCTTAGAGCCACGTTTTCAGAACTACAATTTTTCACCTCTTCTTATTTTTTTTTTCAGATGCAGTGTGATCGATTTCTGCTGCAGCCTTTCTTTAGACAAAAAAAAAGATTTACTACAGCGAGCGCTCTTTTCTCTAGATTTTTTTTGGTTTAACATGGAACACTTTATGGAAACCGTAATGATGAAAGATTTTGACACTCAGCTCTCACAAATTTTGTCTAGTAGATATCAAATAGCAAATTTTTTTTTTTTTTAAACTGAAAATTTTATCCTCGGCATGAAACATCAAATTTGAATGTGATAATTTTTATTTTCAAAAATGAAAACGCATAAGGTTTGTCTTAAAGATAAGAAAGCGAAAATTTTTTTGTTAAATTTAATTTTTATACGAATTTTCAAAATTTTTTTTCTTCATAATGTTATAAGGCAAACATGTATTATTTCAAGGAGTATTTTGAAAGTTATTTGTATTTAATTAGCTGGGAATTTGGCATGCTGTTTTGTAACAAATATTTTTTAGCAGGCAAAAGTAAATCCCTAAAACCACTATTATAATAACTGAAGATTTATATTTTGGCTGTTCCCTAAGAAAAAAATGATTTGTACTGCATCATAATTTTTTATCGACAGAGAAGGGCAGAGAATTTTGTGCTAGAAAAGGTTTTTTCCAGTATTTCTGGTTTGAGCCCTGGTCGACATCCACAAAATTTCTAAGTTCAATTTTAAGATAAGAACAAATGCCTTTCAGATTTTTTCACAGTATAGAAAATGCGTACCATGCTTATTTCAAACAGATTGGTTGAACTATGCATTGAATGGCCCAAACAAGCGTGTTCCCCATAGTATGGATTTTTTTTTGTTTATAATTTTCTGTGAATCTGTCAGATCGAGCCATTGAATGATCTGACTGGAATTGGTCGACTTGCATAAAACAATGAAAGTTAAATAAAAACTTATCATAGCAGAAACATCACCAATTGTTTTTTAGTATAAAAACAAACAGAAACTGAAATAAGACTCAATGCACAAACCTTGATAGTTATGCAACGCTTTTTGTACTTCTCAAAGTAGTAAAATACTGAAATACTCAAAGACTTTTCAATCGGAGCAAACAAAAAAGCAACTTGTATCTACACTGCTATTATTTTAGTAACTTCTCCGATTGCTTCTTTATACTTACAATTTCTGGCTTTGGACGTTGTTTCTGATCCAAAAAAGAATGTTTTTTTTTGGTCTCTAACTTTTGCAATTATGCAGGTGTTCGAGTTTGAACTTGTCTTCTCCTTAAAAAAAGAATTCTTTTTAAAATTGTATAATTTTTAAACGCTAATTTTCAACCAGTCAATTCGGGTAAATATTTTATGTTTTCGTTTGTAAACACATTATAAAAAGCTTACACTAACAAATGATGTCCTAACTTAGTGACGTTCTCATAGAAGTTTCAATTTTATAGGATTTTTTTTACTGTACTAAGTTGATTTTTATTATGAATTAATCCTTATATAAAACTTACTGATTGTACACGGAGTGTCAAAAAACTAATTTTTAATACTATTTTTTTTCTATACCGTTCCAAGTTTTTAACTTCAGCCAGCTGTTTAAACAAAACTTTATAGGAAAAGATTGCATAACTGGAGACATAGCAACTATTTACGTTAATATCAATTTCTAATTGTATCAGGGTAATCATAAGCAAAATATAAAAGATTCGTTTGTTTTCCAATTTATTCGTTTTTTGTAAGAAACGGAGAAAAGAACACTAAAGCTCGTGTCAGCCCGGATTGTTCTCAACAATTGTTTATTAGGAAAAACTGCCTGTCATGTGTTTTTTTACATTGAAAAACAACGTACTCTGCTGCTTTCATATAATTTTTTCTACGATTTTGAATGGTACGGAGCTGTACGATGAGTTTTCTCCATAGTATGAAAAATAAAATTATAACTATGCTGTAAAAACTACACTTACATAAAAACCAAAAAATATATATAGAAAAATTTTCAAACTTTTTTCCGGAGCCAGTGTTAATCGTCAACATTTTTAATAGAAGTTTTCACTTTGAACCAAGCTTTAGTTGCTTGCCATCATGTTATTTGAAGTTTTTGTAATTTTTTTTGGAATGGCAGTTTTTTTTGGAAAAATTTTGATTAAAGATTTTGACTCTCAGCTCTAGTAAATTGTACCCAGTAAAAGATATCAAATAGCAGATTTTTGTTTGCTTTCTTGTATTAGAACAAATTATCTTGTGGAAAAAATTGGCATTCAGAGAAAAAAATCTCTGAGCGCGCAATTTCTATTTTTATTAGCTTTTAGCTAACCAAATTAAGTAAAAATTTTTTCAGTAATCAGCATTACTATATAGAGGTTAGGAGACCTTTATGATATTTTTTCACTACTTAAACAATTTTTTTTTTGTATAAGAATGTAAAATGACGAAAAGTTCCAAGAAAAAGCAATTTTCGACAAAAAGCAGTTTTTTCAATATGCATGGTTGGTTTAGTTTGGTAATAGCAGGAATGCCTCTGGAAAATTATTTTGAAGAAATTTGTCGAAAAAAACATCCCTCAAAAAAATCAAAAAAAATGCTTATCTGATGTTCTGCAAACTTACTGTTGTTTTCTTAGAAAAAAAAAGATTATCTGATGTTGTCCAAATTTATTGTTTTTTTAAAAGAAAACATGAGTTTTGTTACTGTTTTATCGTAATTTGATAAGTTTCGACGTTCAAAAAAGTTGCTTAATTTTTGTTCCTTGGGTTTTTGGCAATCGAAGTTATAACTTTGAACAAATTTTTTCTTACCTCATTGAATGTATCGGTTTCCTTGCTCAAATTTCAATAATTTTTTATCCCCATTTTATAAAATTCTGATTGTAAAGTTCATTTGTGCCTTTATTGTGATGCTGGAAGCGTTACGCCAATTATCAAAGCGTGGCAAATTCTCCCGCACTACAAAAATGTTCCCAATTTTTGAGGCAAGTTAGTCGACTGTTTTTACTTTGTAATCTTTAAGTGTTACATACTTGACGTTGATGTTGTCCCAACATGCTTTCGTTACCAAAAACTATGCTGTTATTATTAGTTAAATCTCAAATGTCAATGTACTGATCGCTCACGGCGTAATGTTCTATCGGCACTGAAAAACTTCAGATTGACGTCAATTTAACTCGATTTTATACAGATAAAAAATAATCAGTTTAGAATTGATTTCAGGTAGCCCAGTTGCTTAAGTAAATTTATGTAGAATGAATCTAAACGGGTTCGAACTATAGTAAAAAAAAAAAAATTTTTTGCCTAAAAGACGATTTCGAATCATTTTGGATGAATTTTCACAATATTCAAAAACCTAACAAATTTGACTCAATTTAACTGTTGCTTTGGTTTCAAAACTTGAGCTTACAGTTTTTGTACTCAAGAAAGCATTTCAGAAGAGCTACAGAGAGCTAGAGTTATTCGAAGTCCATTTTGTAAGGGGAAACTTTTGATTTTAAGTTAACGCTTTCTAAAATTTGCAATTCTATGGGTTCCCCCGCGGTGATGAAAAGTAACGTCATACAAAAAGCCTTCAAAATTGATTTTTTTGGATAAGCAATCGAGATTATAATTGAAATTTACTGTTCTTTTTCGGTGCAGAAAAATTCTTATTATTTTTTCTCGTAATTTATTTTCAGGCCTAACATCAACACGAAAAGTCAATTGAAAGGCATACGTTATATTTTTGATTCCATTTTTTTTACTGTTTGATAGTCGAGAAATCTAAATAAAATCTGTATAAATTTTTTATCAAAAGCAGATATACAAAACTGGATAAAAACGTAAATTGATTTTGAGAATTGATTGAAATTGGAATCGATTGATATTGATACTTAATGTATTTCCTAATTTCAGAAAAATTGATTATAAACTGATTCAAATCAATTTTTGCACATATTGCTATATTGCTTATATAGAATCCCGTGCAATTTGTTCCTTTTAGTACAGGTAGGTAATTTTACTTGATCCGAACGGTAGTAAAACGGAGTGTAGCCAGTATTTAGACAGCCGCGTATTCATACTCGTCAGTATTTAGACAAATACTGTATGAACCAATCAGAATCGAGAAAAGACATAAATAATCCAAAATAAACAATAATTATTTATTAATTTCTTCCTTGGCTCAATTCTGATTGGTTGAAACAGTAGTTGTCTAAATACTGACCAGTCTGAATACGCGGTTGTCTGAATACTGATATGTAACCTAGTAAAACATTGCGCAGACAAAATGCATAGAGACTTTTTTGTGGTCCCGCTATCCAAAACTGTACGGGTTCCTAAGGAAATACTCAGCAATTAGTTAGCTTTCTAGAAAAAAAAACACATTACATATAGAGTGTGTTTTGAAAAACAACAACATATAATTGTTTCAGAAAAATACTCTGATTTTCAAATGGTGACAGACAGAATTCAAAGATCGACTAGAAAATATATCCAAGAGTCCTTCAACATCCTCAGTGATCTTGATCCTCATTTTTAGTCCAAGAAATGGATAACGAATTAACCATCTACAGAGGTGACCTTGAATCGCATCCGAAGACTGTTCAATATGAAGAAAACAACACTTCACTCAAGCGTAAAATTGCTAGAGCGTTTAGAGAAGAGATTCCACCTGAAAGTTTGTATGAGGTGACGGAACCCTCTGACAACACGGTTTCTGTCGTTCCCGTTTCCCTGCTATCACCCGGTAGGACCTATCTTTGGCCCTACACAGAAAAATGGCATGACAAGCTTTTGCTTCAAAATGCTCTTTTTTCATCGAATGCAGCCTACCAAAATGAACCATTAAAGTATTTACAAGGACAAGAAAATAGACAATTTCACGAAATAACAAAGATAATTGCAGTAAATATAAGGCTCGGCAAGCAAGTAGCTTCATTATTCCTGGCATCACGGGGATTAAAAAATACCCTAATAGTGGCATTTAGAGGTACAAGTTCGAAAGAAGATGTGCAATCCGACATCGAGATCGGATTTTCAACTGATAACAGACTTCAAGGACAAATTCATGGCGGATTTTTAAGTCGAGCTCAAGAAGTCGCAGAGTCACTCGGAGTAATATTGAATATTGCCAAAGACAACAACGCGCGCCAGATTCTCACTTGTGGGCACTCTCTTGGGGGAGCAGTCTCATCATTGGTACACATGTTCCTGCTGTTTGAGCTTCATAATTCTGAACAGAACGATATCAACATTTCGAAGGAGAATGTTATCAACATAACATTTGGAGCACCAATGGTGGGTGACAGAGTGTTTGCCAACTCTGTCCGTGAAAGAGGCTTCACAGAGAACATTTTTCAGTTTGCTTCTGCCTGGGATGTAGTTCCTGTCATCCTTTCTTTCGGTCATTTCAAGGAGTTCTTACGAAATGCTCCTGCAAGAACATGCAAGGAAAAAGTCTTAAAAGCGCTCGGAGTTATAGGCAGTCTTTTCTTCAAAATCAGACCTACGGAAACCACGAAACTCTGCCTGGTGGTTCTGGGACTCGAAACCGAAGCGGATAAAATTAAGAATGCATTGGTCGTTCTGAAAAGTTGCAAAACAACTCTGCAAAGAAGTTTCGACGAATCGCATTACGTGCCAATTGGAAATTACCTTCGTATCCGAGAAAAGGAAATAACTCCTGTGGGCAACAATGAAAAAATCATAGAGCTGTTGCTAAAAGAAGCTCTGCAATCTGAAGACGTGAGTATTTCTGAACTACAACAGGGACATTTGCTCAAAAGTTACTTCAATTGCATCAAAAATATAAAGGAGTTCGTCACATGTGACAAAAATGATAAAATCTTATTGGATAAGACTACGGTAATGAACTTCGTAGCAGATGATGGCTTGAGCTATACTTTTGACAAGGCTTGCTCCTTCACTTGTGGGTATGTTTACTGTTCAAAGCCTCTGTTCTTGAACAATAAGACTGTGAAACTTTGTCTGGGCTGTAAAGACGACCCTCAGATGTCGGAACATGTTTTCCACACGACATGCTGGGAGCATTTACACAAGGAAAACGACCCCAATAGAGGAAACCACGAATGCACAACGATAAATTCGGATGATTTAGGAAACATAGATGGTCAGGAGAACTTCTTTTATGACGAAAGTAAGTTCATAAAATCTTTGAAATTATACTTTTCAACTTTTATCGTCGCAGGAAATCAAATATACTGGGGTCCAACGTTTCACAGGAAACTTGTAAGAGCTGTTGGCGACTTTGACAATTCTTTAAATGATCGGAATGTTCTGGGACTCTATGAAGAAAAGACATGTACTGATCAACATGTTCTGATCAACAAAACGGAGAATCAACCAAACAATGCATTCCAAAACGGCTTGAAACTTGAAAGTTTGACAATCAAAGTTACAAATTTCATTTCTAAAGTGAAAAGGCAGGAAATTATCACTGAGAAGTCTATCGCATTATCAACTTTATTTTGCTACAACTCGATATGTGATCTTACAAGTTTTTACAAAGGAAAAATTAACAAAACGGCATATGCTAAATATTTGACCGAGAACTTTGCAGCAAGTCTAAGTTCCGCATTCTTCAGTTGGGGGGCGGAGTGTATCAGTACCCAGATACCGTTTCAAGTCGCATACCCTCATCATACACCATGGTTTTCTTACACTGTTTCCGCTTTTGGAATTCCATGCGGGTTCCTTGGCGGAGTTATGGGCTACGTGTGGTTAAAAAAAATCTCCGCACGTGCCGGTTGGATCAAAACGGAAGAAGACAAAATGAAAGCAGACATTATAGCTGACGCTCTGAACTTCTTGGATGTTCCACTATCCAACAACGATTTTCGTAAGCTGACTAAAAGTGACGTCACAAAATGCGCCAAAAAGAAAAGTCTCTTTTATTACTCCGCTGCAAGTTCACCAGGAGCAACCGAGGAAGAAAGAAATCAGAATGAAGTTTTGAGGCAAATGGTTCAATTGTCTCAAAAGATTCTGATTAAGTTCTGCCAGGATTCGCAAGTGCTGAGTAATTGTGTGATAAAACTCGTACAACCGAAATCAATGTTGCGCGAAGATTTTCAGGTGCACAAGATGAAGGAAAAACTCGACAAATTAAACAAGTATTGGGAAAAAATCGGCTCTAATAGAGTCATACAACTTGCAGCAACCCAAAATTGAAAAAAAGAGCGGCTAAAATGTGACGAAGTAAGTATAGTACATTAAATAACTGCACCATCTAAATATCACTACTAAATACGCTTGATGCTTTTGTACATATCTTTTCAATAAACAGCTTTTAAAATTATCGAAAGTAGCTCGTTTTAAATAAAATTATCAATGTGATAACTAAGAAACACATAATCATAATGATATTTTACATTCAATGCATTTAATACATTCAAGTATACATTCAAAAAACTACTTGTATCAGGGCGATGACCTGAATGTTCCGACCGCCATTAAACATCTATGGAGGAGTGCTCAATTTAAAAGAAAACGATGAAATTTTCAAAAAAAAATAAATTAAAAAATTTAACTTGAAATAATATTTTTTATTTCAAATCATCCCTCACGCGCTATTCAAAGAATAGAGTAACTTTTTGAACATTGAAGAAAGCAATAATGAGAACAAAAAGAATGACTGAATTCAATTTGCAACGATTTATTAACCGTAGTAAGTTGCTGCTTATGCGTTAATACACAAAAAAAAAAAAATACATCGCACGTTAATTGTCTCAGATTGGCCAAACTGGCAATATTTAAAACGCCTTAATTTTTCGAACAAAAATTACAGGTAAAGCATTTTTTAAAATAGAGCTCAAGATGCCTTTCAGATGGTGAAAAAACTTTATGAGCACAACTATCCGACATTTTTTTTGAAAAAAATTGAAACGATATCTATTCCCTTTGAATATCACTCTAAACTTTGTTTGATGCTAATCTAAATGTTTTTTTGAACAAGAGTTTTTAACACTATGTAGAAATTCAAAAACATTAATAGCAATGGAATGTTTCAGAAATACTTCACCATACTGGCGCTTCACATAGAATCCAGGTATAAATGTTCCAAAGTTTAACTGGATTCCACAGAACTTCTGTGTATTCCTGTGCATAAAGCACAAACATTAGTTAGGTCGGCACAATAGTTTTGTCGCGGACTCCGAAAGGAGCGAATAAATGGTTCTTCTAGATTCGACAAGTGTATGTTTTTATACACACACACATGTGTATATATATATATAAGTATATATATAAATGGATTACGGACTATACAAGCGGATTGCGCAAGTGGAAGCATATTCCTCAAATGAAAGCCGAGTCGCAAATCGTATTGTAAAAAAAACAATACGTCGAGTCGCAAATCGTATAGTAAAAAAAATATCTCGTGATGGAATTTGACTACTTAAGTTGAGGTTATCTAGACAAGAGCGCTAGCCACTAGCCCCCTTGACGTGAGCAGAATAATTAGCTACCTAAAAAAAACCCTGGCCTAGAAAGTGTTCTCAGTCAGATTTGAAATAATCTTTTTCAGATCTAAATTTTGGATCTGAAATGATGTGCAAGGTAAGAACAACGCTTGAATATAAAAAACAATAATTTATTTTGGATCAAATTTCAGATCTGAAGTTTCTTTTTTGTGGTTATTTCTGGTCTGCCATGTTTTATTCTGCTTTCTTGACTTTTAGGTAATTCTATACTATATAAGGTACATAGCGAAGTCGACTATCGGAGAATGCTGAAATAAGTTTTCCCTAACATGAGATAAGCCTTGGAAAAACCACAAAATATGATCCAACATTGTTTAAAAGAAACGGTTTATATAATTAATTAGATTTTTTTAAAAAAATTTAAGAAAAGGTTTGTCTAATCTAATTTCAGATTCTAAGTTTTGTGTTTCATTGTTATTTCATATCTGACTTTTTTGAAATTCTTTTTAAAGATTTGAATTAACGAAATTCAGATCTGAGGTTCAGCATATGTACAAGAAAAAAAATCAAATCTTGTATCGAAAACCCACTAAGTACGTGAAGTAACAATTGTTTAAAAAGTGTTCATTTGCATTGTGTAGTTGCGAATATTGTTTATACTCAAAGCACGTATAGTCAAGGTTTATCTCATATTGGTTAAGCGGTGAACTGTTCTTATGTTATTGTTCCGACTTTCGATACGAAAGTAACGGAATATTTGTGCTCGGGGTGGGTTTTTTTTATTTCAGACAATTTTCGACTTTTTAACTAGCCATTTTTGACAAAATTTTTTTAATATCATTCGAAATGTATTGTTGTCCTGAGCTCAAACTTCAAAAGATATTTCACCCGTGATCATTTTTCGTAAAGTTATGGGGGTTTAAATATTGCCATTTTGGGACAATTAACGCGCGATATATTAACGCGTAAGCGGAGAGTTAATCCGTCTTAGAAATCGTTCCCAATTGGTTTAACGACGCTTATTTGCCATAATTGATTTGTTAAAAGTAGCAAAATCTATCCTTTTGTACTTTATTTGGCGTGTGGGGGGATGATTTTCATTTAAAAAATTTTTAATTTTAGAAAAAAAAATTCTTTTTGTTTTATTACTTTTAATTTTTAATGTTATTACTGCTCCATAAACCTTAATAGTCAGTCGGAACATTCAGGGCTTCGCCCTGATACGAGCAGTCTTGTTTTTCTTCTAAAATTGCTTTTTTTCTATGGTTGGGTTAGACATACATCATTTGAAAAATTGTTGCCAGCTCATAAACAATAGTTTTTATCCAACTTCACCTTGGATGAATTTTCAGTAACAGTAATTTCAATTGTATAATTAATTCTATATGCTAAGAATAAAACATTAGACGGTGATGAGGAAATTTCAAGCCCCTTGCACAACAAAGCATATTCTTTAGGTGGCTTCAATAAGTAAAGGTCGAAGTTGTTCTCAGTTCTGTAAAAAAAGTGTCAACCGATGCTAGAGAACAAAATACAAAAAAATATATGACAGATGACAGCTCATAGATTGGAGCTCTGGAGTTTTGAGTTGACCTGAAATATTAATTTCTGTTCTTATACTTTTTTTAAAAAATATTTGAAATCTTTATGAAAAAAAAACGTGAGTTTTGCAAAATAAAAAAGCATTTTAAACAGCTTTTCGAATGTTGCTTCTTCACCATCTCTTAGAGTCTTACTATAAGCTCAATATTAATGCAAATGGTTAAAGTCAAGGACATGATGATTTATAAGAAGAACCGATTCAAGATCTTTGCTTTATGACATCCGTTTCTACTGACTAACCTTAACGTGGATTTCTCTGTAAAATTCTCATAAGGAAAAAACTAAGATGTCATTCTTTCAAAACACAAATCATTATGGAAGAGGAAAGCTATTTTTTTAAATTAAACAACAGCATAGTTTTGTGGAAAATAACATTAAAGAAATTGGATCAATCGCACAATCCCTCCCAACTGATAGCGGGGGTATAAAACACTGGTTTTTCAGATAATGACATCCAAGGAAAATAGAAACAAATTGATCTAATCAATCAAAATAATCTACAGATACTAAATTATGATTAATTTTTTACTCTATTAACAGGTTAAAATAGTTTTTCTGCATAAAAAATTCTCTTGCAGTAAATTTAGCGCGGTTGATCCTATAAATTATTCGCGTCGACAAAAAATTTACTTCAAGAAAGATTATTTATTTTCTGTAAAACATTATCTGCTCAATTCTCAATAAAATGCATACTTATTACAATTTAACTAGACGTTGAAGAACCCGCATTTTTTTTGAATCTGTAAAAATCTTAATGCAATTACCAACAATATCTATCATCGCGAGACTTAGGTTCTTTTCACTTGGGAACTTAAAATCTTGGAGGATAAACTTTATAATGAGAACATGACTGTTCGTACAAGGGCAAAACCCTGAATGATCCGACTGCTTTTACAAGAATTATTGACAAACTATGAATTTGAGGCTGATAATACCAAATTTTAAGCGTCAAAATTCGAGATGTGTAAAGAATCATTGCGCTCAATTAGCTTGCCTTAATTGCAACTCAACGTTTAAGTCAACGTTTATTAACTCGTGCTATTTGAACCAGTCTGATTTATTCATCGCTAAGCCTCAAATCGCAATACCACGCCAAAATATCACCCTTCGGTATTTGTCGCTATAAAAAGCCCCTAAGCTGCGTCTTCAGAGTGATTTTATGGTGATTTTGCGAAGTCGTGGCCTTTCCTTTCGATTTTCTCCTTTGGTGAGAGCTGCGTTGGAGAAGATAAGTTCAAAATTGAGACTCAAACTGGATACGCAAAAAGAAGACAATTTTAAAACGCATTGGCGAGCACAAAGTTAAGACAAGACTGCTCGACTCAGGGCGAAGCCCTGAAAGTTCCGACTGCCTTTTAACGTTTATGAAGCAGCAATAACATAAACAACATAAAAAAAAATTAAATGAAAAAAAAATTTCTAAAATTTGAAAATTTTTCTAAAAAAATCATCCCCCCAAACGCCATATAAAATACAAAACAATAGATTTCGCTCCTTGTAACAAATCAGTTATGGCAAATAAGCTTCTTTCAACCAATTTGGAACGATTTCTAAGACGGATTAAATCTCCGCTTACGCGTTAATAGCGCGAATTAGATCGCGCGTTAGTTGTCCCAAATTGGTCAAAATGGCCAAAATGGCAATATTTAAACCCTCATAACTTTACGAAAAATAATCACAGGTGAAATATCTTTTCAAACTTAAGCTCAGGACAACAAAAGTTTTCGAATGATATTTTAAAAATTTCCGTCAAAAATAGCTAGTTAAAAAGCCGAAATTTGTCTGAAGAAAAAAAGCCCATCCCGAGCACAAATATTCCGTTATTTTCGCATCGAAAATCGGAACAACAAGACTGCTCGTATCTGTATTCCATGTTATTACTGTCTATGCAGCAGTAATAACATGGAAAATTTAAATGTAACACAGTAAAATTGATTTTTTTTTCTAAAAAGTCTGAGATTTTTTGTGAAAACATCCCCCCACATGCCATATAAGTACAAAGTGATGGATTTTGCTCCTATTAACAAATTAATTATGGCAAATAGCTTCTTTCAACCAATTTGGAACGATTTCTAAGACGGATTAACTCTCCGCTTACGCGTTAATAGCGCAAAATATATCGCGCGTTAATTGTCCCAAATTGGCCGAAATGGCAATTTTTAAACCCCCGTAACTTTATGAAAAATGATCACAGGTGAAATATCTTTTCAAATTTGAGCTCAGGACAACAATACCTTTTGAATGATATAAAAAAATTCCGTCAAAAATGGCTAGTTAAAAAGTCGAAGTTTGTCTGAAGAAAAAACCCACCCCGAGCACAAATATTCCGTTACTTTCGATATTGAAAGTCGGAACAACAAAGTCAAAAATAAAAATGAAACTCACAATTGATTTGGTCAAAACTGCATCTCTAACACGAATTCAAAACAGATTAACAAATCATACAATGATTTTTTC